GTTGGTGACTCAAATGAGAAAAGTAGGTTAGGTTCCTAACTATGGACGTAAGTTTGGTGATCTGAATAACATACGACACATATAAAGACAGAAGTCAATATTCAGCTTTAGGCATTTGTAACAGAGTGAAAAATGAGTGTCTAGTATTGCCAGTTCTTTGATTTTTATAGGAACAGAAATTGAGATTTTGAAGTGAATTATCTGAGATTTAGAAATTGACAACTTACTCAATTAAACAACAGCCACTACTCCAGGACTGTGATGATCACACAGAATATGGCCATGGGCTGGCTGGTTGCAGCCTGCAGATAGCCAGTTTATAATCTGTGTTCTAGATGCTTGCATATTTGCAATGGAAAATGTTCTTGCTTTCTTGATGCTTCAGGAACATGTGGCTGGGTTTCGGATTAATTTCACTTTAATATAAGTTATGCTTTTATTAAAAGCTGTGAATGATGTATACTCTTTAAAAGGAGATAATATCACTGAGAACCAGTGTATGTGCATAAAGAGCACATTGTCTGTGACTACACTGTGTTCTTTATAGTGATACTATGTACTGGCATATCAGGACATGCTTAAACAGAAGTTTGATTCTGTCTTACTCTTTCACAAATTATGTGTACAGAAAAATGCTGGCTAGCTAATGCAGTTATGAATCTTGTGATGAGGTCTAAGCATTCGAGTGTTAAATAAATTTAAGTTATTTGGGAAGGCATCTTCCACCTTGTTTTAGACTGTTTTTTTCCCCCCAAACTTTTTAGCTACAGCAGTGAAAACAAAAGCAGTATAAAAATTTAAATTGGTTTAGTTACCAAAACATTAGAAGAAAAAGCCAAATTAAATAAATCCGAGACATTAGCACATCTAAACAAATGAGAGTTTAAAAATATAAAGGAAATGCTCTGAACATTAATAGAGATACACAAATTTAGGAATTATGAGTTAGCTGATTTAAGATTATACCATAATTAGTCCAGTTTATTTAGCCATGTAAAAAACATTCAGTCATTGGACATATTTATTCAAGGGCTGGATATTTATTTTAGAAATACTTGTCTACATTGGATGATGAGCTGGATGCAGGTTGACTAGAACTCCAATCCCAAGATTGCCATTTGGCATCCTTGTAATTGTGGTTAAGTTGCTTTGTATTATTTTAGTCAAATAATAGATATTAAAGTAGTAGTATAAGAATTAGACAAGGTAACACAGAAATATCACACTGTTATACTATTTTTTTTCAGAATTTTATTCCCTTTCAACTATTTGAACACATAAATTCTGTGATTCTTAGCTTCTGCCTCTATACCCAGATGGATATATAATTGACTATTGAGTAATACACCCTAAGTAGAAATAATAAAGCATATTGGGGTTAGGAAAGATGATTGTGAAAAATATCCCATAAAGGTAAAGCTGGTTTTTAAATAGTCTGATTTTTAGATGAAATCATAATATGGTGCCAGGACGAAATTCAGCAAAAGTATTCTTAGACATTTATAAAACAATAATAATTATATAGCTATAGAAGGCCTAGCGTGAGAATTTAAAAATGTTTAAAAGTAAAACTAAATATGGATATTTTAAATATTTTTTATTATCTGGATTTATCACTTTGAAAAACAAGTAAATAAATAATCCTACACATAAATTATATTTTTCTGTATATATTAGTTGCTTAATGAAAAATTGAGCTCTAATTAAGCTTCATATATTGAAAGGAAATTATAACAAATGAAAAATAAGTATGTAGATGAGAAAACCAGAACATTTAAAAGAACATTAAGGTATATGGTCTAGAGAGAAAAAGATCATCTTACTTTTTAATAGCTTATATTATGGGATCTATATTATATTTTTCCCTTTTATAGTGGACTAAGAAAAAAGAATAAGGTTAAACAAAGTTTCACACTATTTACATAAGATGAAAAATGACAATGTAAGATATGTAACTGCCTAAAATTAATAAATTCTTTTTCTAAAACTCATTGAGAACAGGATAGGAACAAACTGACTGATTCTTGAGTATATTAGAATTAGAGCTTGTTTTATTTAAATGTATAGGTATGAAATATATGACATTGAAATTTTCTTGAACTAGTCACTTCTTCAGGCCAATAAAAGTTGAAATGTGAATATGAAATGAATTTAAATGAAAGAATTACATTCTAACAGTATAGTATGTCTTGATAGGATAGCTCCATTAAATTATTTCTTTCAGAAACTGGTGTACTCATTTGCATTTTATTGAGTTGATAACTTAATAATATTTAGGGTTTTTTAATAAATGGAAGATATAATAGAGTAGGACTTAAAGACTTGAATAATATGAAAATTGCAGTTGTCAATACTAATTTCTGATTTTCAGATTCCCCAAAAGCTTTCACAGATTTGTCACATCCCTTTCCAAATTTTTTCAGATTCTCACACAAAGCTGTCAGCATGCTTGTTGCAAACACCTATTCCAGCATTTCTTTAGGAAGCTTTTGTTTTCATTTCAGTCTGGAGTGGTTGCTTTCTAGGCTTTTGGACAATTCTTATCCTTGGACTTCTCTATACTCCCATGGTCTTGGAGTTCTTGTTTTCTGTATCTTCCTGCATTCTTCCCTCTTAATTGCCCTTATTTTGTTGAGGATGGCTTAGGAGAATTTTTGAGTCCTTACACAATTGAGAATGGTATTATTCTATGGTCATACTTTGCAGATAGTTTCTCTGAACATGAAATTTAACTTCGTATTTTGAAGACATTGCTTTTGAGAGATACAGTGATAGTTTCAACGTGACTCCTTTGTATGTTACCTGTTTTGTGTCACTGGGAACTCTTAGTCACTTTTCTATCCCTCTTCTTTAATTTCATGGTGATGCTCTGGTTTGGCTCATTTGTTGTGCTATTCAGTCACCCTTTTAATCAGGAAACTTGGATCTGAAGTTCTACGAAATTTTTCATTCATTTTCAAGAAAGAAACTTTCACTTCTTCCCTTTTTTTCTTTTCTTTTTTTAATAGCTGCTACTTGCCAACTACATGATATATGAGACTAATAATGCCCTGATGTTTTAACATTATTATCTATCTGTCTCTTTATTCTAGTTTCTGGGAGATTTTCTTATGGTACTTTCTACCTTCCCATTGATTTTAAATTCTTGCGCTTTTAGTACTTCCAACAAGAATTCTATTTTTGTTCTATAATAATTTCTTCCTCCATTTCTTTTTAATTTAAATCTAGTTTGTTTAATAAGATATTGTTCTTTATTCTGCCCCTAAGGATATTAGGGAAAGTTTTGAAATTCTCTTCTGCTGTTTTCATAGTCTATATTTATTTGGAGATCCTTTTATATTTGTTCATTACAAAAATGCATTTGTGTCTGTATTTCTTCAAGTATTGGGTGGTTGGACTGTTCATTTACATTCAAGAAGATGGTAGTAAAGTGAATTGGAAATATACTATGTGCAGAGATGGGTTTAACATCTACTGTCTTGCTGGTTTTCAAGTTTCCCTTGTACATATCAATTCATACCCTTTTTACTCATTTATTGCTATTTTAACAGTATTTCCAAATGGCACAGATAAATGCATTATTAAGTTTGTTAGTTTTAACAAGTTGTATAAATATATTTAAACATTATTGGCACTTTCTATGTTTTTAGTTACTATTTGTAATTATCTTAAAGAATTTTGTATTATTCTGCTGAGTAAAAGTACTATAGCTTGCCTAACTGTTCCTCTTTTGTTATGACTTTAGGTTATTCATGGTTCAAAAAGCATTATTCATCATCACTAGGAAAGCAAATATTCTATGAGGAAATTCTAATAGAATACTGTTTGTCTAAGCTTAGTTCATTGATTATTTTATCTTTAATATGCTTTATGCATATTCTCTTCTCTGACCATTGTTTGGTAGAAGTATAAGAGTGTTCTCTCTTTAAAAGTAGCTTACTATACTAATGCTTTGAAGAAAAAAAATGGGTATTTGTTAATTCATAATTAACAAAACTGTTGTGATTTACTATTTTTCCATATGGAAATGAAACATGGTAATAAATGTTAAATTAATAACTTTGGACCAATTTTAAATATACTAGTATTTTTATTTGTTAATAATAATATAGATTTTATTGCATACAGATGATTTTTGGATTTAGTATTTAACTTTCATAAAAAATTTCAGTTTGATCTAGTAAAATGAATTAGAATGACTTAAAGTCATTTTTGATTTTGGTATCTAAAAACAATTATTACTTTTTGAAATTTTTAAATTAGTCTTTCTGATATTTGTATTAATATTTATTTTGAAATTTATCATCCTACTTAAACATCATTTCTGAAGAACTGAGTAAACATATAATTCTATTATTTTTTCTTTGTAGTAATATTTAAAAAGAAATATAGTTATGTGATGCATAATGATGTGAAGGTCAATGGCAGACCACCCGTACAATGGTGATCCCATAAGATTGGGACAGTAGTGACATTGAAGCCATCTTGCTTGTGTAAGGACAAGCAAGTATAAGTACATTCTGTGGTGCTCACATAAGGAAATTGCCTAAGGTCACATATCTCAGAATGTATTTCTGTAATTAAATGACACATGACTGTAATTATATATTATTTTTAAGGCTTTTTAACATTAGTTTTTATATAATATTATCTTTACAATGGTTAATTTTTTCCTGTGATTTTAGTTATTACTATGAACTAGGATTAATTTTAGATGCTGTTGATATTTTTAAAAGTATGTAATGGGCAATTTTTCAAATAGATCTTTGATTTGTGATTCGTTTTATGAGAACCAGTAGTGGATAATGTGTAAAATTTTTCTGAAGCAGTAAAGAGAATAGAATGTAGGTATAGTTCTTTTCTGTTCTTTAGGATCAGTCTGCTCAAAACATTATAAATTTAATGATTATTTAATCTGCCTTTTTCTGATTATAAATTTTAAATATTTATGTGGACGTGTATATACAAATGCACATTTAAAATAATTTGTTTTGTCATAGTTACTTGCCATGGTTTGAAGTATATTACAAGCTTCTAAATACTCTGGCAGATTACTTGTCTAAGGAACTGGTAAGCTATATTTTTTATTTTATTTTTATTGTGTTAAAATATACATAACATAAAATGTTATCATTTTAACCATTGTAAGTATATAGTTTTGTGGCATTAAATATATCCACATTATTCTACATCCATCAATTTCTAGACATCTCTAGAAGTTTTTATATTGACAATCTGAAACTTAATACCCATTAGACTTTAACTACCCATTTCCTTCTATCCTCTTTCCTGAAAATGACCATTGTACTATATCTGCCACTATGATTCTATGTACTTCATGTAAGTGGAATCACACAATATTTATCCTTATATTCAAGATACCCATGTTGTACCATGTGTCAGAATTTCCTTTCTTCTTAAAGACTGAAGGTGGCTTTCCATTATATCTATATATGCTGAAGTCTGTTATTTTATTCAACTGTTGGTGGACACAGATTGTATCTGCCTTTTGGCTTTGCTTTTATGAAGACAGTTGTACAAATACACATCTTTCAATCTTATACTCAGTTTTTCTTGGTGTATACCTAGAGGGGTTAATGCTGGGTAATCCAGTAATTCTGTATTTCAGTTTTTGAGGAACCATCCTACCATTTTCCACAGTGGCTACATCATTTAACATTCCCACTAGTAATGTACTAGAGTAATTTTGATTGTATTTGCTTTATTTCATTTATTAATTGATTTTTTTCTGTTCCAGGAAAATGATTTGAATGAAACACTCAAATCACTCTATAACCACCCAGTACCAAAGGCAAACACTCCCGTCACTTTGAGTGTGGTAAGTAATCACTAAATGCTTTAAGAAATCTTAGCAGTTTCTCATTTAAGAACAATGTTACTTTAAAAAATTATTTACCATGTCACCTATGCTTCTGCTTCTGGAGAAGCTTTAGCGATAGGACTAAGATTAGTAGGTGATAATTTTGAGTCTTTTGATGAGCTACAATTGTCATAACTTGATATATTTGAGTTGTGTATTTTAGTAGTTATTAAACTGAAACACTAAAAAATATTTTGAACTGAAAATAACTGTGAGGTTTTGATGATCTGATGAACTTAATGGTTGTGATGATCATTCATACTTCAGGTGAAAGTCATGTATAAATAAAGGAGTACATACAAAATGTGTGTGTGTATATGTGTAGATAAAATCACTAGTCCCCCTAAAATGAAAACAATTGTTAATAAGAATAGAAAATGACATTGCCACAAATGACATGCAGGATGAAAATACTGGATGAAGAGTTCTTGTTCATTCCTTAGTCTGAAATATGTCTTCTGATATAATCACAAAATAATGTAAGTATCATTAGAGTTTGTCAAAACAGCAAGCCTGTTTACTATTGAAACTTTTTAATGAACTGTGCCATCTATATCTAAAAATAGACTAAAAACAAAGTTCATGGTAGTAAAATGTAGATATTTTCATTAATATTCTCCATTACTTTGGCATGTGAAACTGAAGGTTGAATTTTATTTATATTGATTTGTTTCTTTCACAGTGATAGTAAACTTCCATATTAACAAACAAGAAAAAATTTTACCAGGCAAGAAAAATTGCTAGGATAAGTAACTTGAAATATAGATAGTAATAGGTATTTTGTGTTTTTGCAAGATAAGGAAATCATTATTATTATTCTTTCTTTGGTAACAACTTTCTCCTTGCCTGATAAAATTATATTTATACTATAATTTAATAATAGTTTTTTTCTTACTTAACTCCATTCTTTACATTTTCACTGTCACACCCTCATTCAGGTGCTAAGCACTTCAGATTGTCCTTAGTCTAGAATCTTTCCTTCCAGTTCTTTCTTCAAATTAAACCACCTTAAACCTTGTAAAGTCCACTAATGAAAAACAACTCCTCATTTTATATACAGAATTTGTTTGAACTTTTGCCCAGGCTTTCCAGACCATCCAATTCCTAATTTTACTCTAACTTTTCATGTTCTGTATCACAATTTTTTTAAAATCAGTCCCTACAGTGGTCACATTGTTTAGCCCAGTTTCTTGAATGAACATCTTGCTTTCCTTTTGCACTGAATCTTATTTATAGACTGTCTATATTTAGACTAGCTCAGTCCCCACCTTTGTGAAGCTCTTGCCACACACCTCAACGTGTTCTTTCTTTCCTGTGATCTCTGCTGCCTTGTGTCTGCATCATCTTTTGTTGGATACTGCCAAAGTGGAAAGAGACTGGGGATGGAAAGCCAAGAAGACCCTGGATATTTTTAATCAAATTTGAGAGTCATCAGCAGAGATAGTTGTAGCTTTGTGAAGAATATACTGTAGAGAGAATATGGAGAGGAGGCTAAGGTCTAATTGCCCAATTAGACTGTGAGGACGAAGAAAAGAAATCCAGTGGAAAAAATAGAGGAAAGAGCAGATAGGGAGAAATTCACACTCATAGGTCATGAAAGCCAAAAGAATGCAGTGTGTATGGTTAGTGGCAATACAGCAGAAAGGCAGCAGAAAGTGCAAGCAAAACAAAGAATAATCTTTGGTTTTCCAAAAAGAACTCCTCTTTCTTGGACAGTATTATGTTTGAAGTGATTCTGACACTTTGCTAAAGAGTTATGAAAATTTATTTCCCTTTAATTGACATATAATAATTTTACCTATTTATGGGATGCAGTGTTGTGTATGTGTAGATTATATGACAATGAAATCAGAATCTTTTAGTTATACTTGGAATCTCTGCTTCTATGACAAATTTTTAGATTTCAAATATGAGTTAAATCACTCATATATCCTTCTGTGTCTGACTTGTTAAATTTAAGATAATAAGCTCTATTTTCATGCATGTTGCCACAAATGACATAATTTCATTTCTTATTGCTGAATATTCTGTTGTATATATGTATCATTTAAAAATACCTATGCATTCATTGTCAGATGAGGAGGTTAATGCCATGTCTGGTCTGTTATGAACAATGATGCATTGAACCTGGGAGTGAAGACATTCTGGTTTCCCTTCTTATGGCCAGACACCTAGTAGTGGGGATACTGAATCATATGGCATTTCTATTTTTAATTTTTTGAAGAACCTCTATACTGTTTTCCATAATGGTTGTGCTAATTTACGTTTCCACTAACAATGTATAAAAGTTCCCCTTTATACCCTCCACAACTCTTATTATTTTTTGTCTTTTGGATAATAGCATTGTAACTGGGGTGAGGTGATAACACATTTTGGTTTTGATTTGCATTTTCTTGATAGCTATTTATGTTGAGATTTTTTTCTGTATATATTTTGGTAAGGTAGACCTTTGAATAGCTTATGATATCTTTCACATTTTCTACACCTAGTCTCAAGTGTTTGGTAAAATAACTTGTTACCTATGTTTAAATTTCATCTGCTTCTAATAACAGAATGTACCCAGTGTTACACACTGCTAATGAGGGACAATTTTGGGATTAGAACATTTATCTTCAACTACTAGTAGAGATTTTAGTTTTATGTTGCCAGATTAAAAATTTATGATCATGGAAGTTTTCTTGAAAGTGGGTTAGTGGTCACTAGAATATCAGATTTTATGAGATGTTAAATGTCTAAAAATTGATTTTTTTGAAACTGTGTTTCAAAAATCATTAAATAACCATAGTGTTCTCTACTCTCACAATATAAAAATACTTTCTTTAGGATTTTTTCTAGCATAGAATTACCAAATCAGCATTTAAAATAACACTTATAATCAATGGATAATGTGGCTGCATGAGTTTCTCTCAAAAACACTTTTACATAAGTTTCCCCTATATTCATTTTTTCTTATGTATTATAAGAATCAAGAAATATTTATTGCCAGTGAGCAAGTATTGAAAGATCAGCTCTCACTAATACCGGTGAGTTGAAAGACATTGGCTTCTAAAAATCATTATGAAATTGGGAAAAAAGTTGCTTCTTTTTCTCTGCCTTTAAAATTCACCTCAGTCCTATGGGAAATGGTAGACTGACTCTTTAAAAAATAATCATTTCGAATATATTTTCTGTTTATACTATCTTTTAAACCATGGTCTTATCAAATATAGTTATTGAAAACCTATCCAAATAAAATTAATAGAGACCAAATATGCATGTTCTCCATCTTCAGAAAAAGCAGTTTTAAAGCACATTCACAGCATGAAATTTTTGTCACAAGATTATCTTGTGGTTTACCTCAGATTATTTTTCCACCATGGAAAATGATACATTATGACTGTGTTAACCAGCCTTGTTCTCTCTAGTTTAATTGTGCTCTAATACTGCCTAGAAAAGTTTCTGAGTCTTTAATTTTAAAGATGATACTAAATGAAGATATTAAAATAATTTGGAGCTTAATATGAACAGAAAATAAAACAGTTTTTGGTGATTAAGTTGCACTTTGATTTTATAAATATTTGTAGATATTGTGGGAAATATGAAGGCATATATACTATGTTTTGTATGTAAATATTTCAGAGAGCTATTGTATTGTTTGGTACATTGTAGCATTTGATCCTTGTTCACTTGGTGTGTGAAGGTCATTTTGTGATGAGCAACTATATTTTTAAGATTTAAGCATTTAATAACTGTGTTTTACAAAGAGATTTATTGTGACTTAGCTTATAAACTCTGGAATTTTGATATATTTTGACATATTTTTGGGAGGAGAAGCTTTATTTCTCTAGTCTACCTAAATTAGATATGTTTTAAGAATATATACTCGTAATTATATATATATATATATATATATATATATATATATATATATATATATATA